TTGAGGTAGGCCAGGTCAAGAATGGCTGGGCAGGAATTCCAGGAATGTTCTTCACTGCAGCAAGGTAGAAAAGTAGAATCTTGAAAGCCTGTCCAAGTTTCTCTCTGTCCCATTTTATGCTAAACAAGGTCACGGCGGGATTATTTTGAGTTTCTCTCTGCAAATAAATAGGAAATAGCTGGCACAGGGTTGCATTGGGCAGTAGCAGGAGTGGCCATTCCATCTGGAAGCTGCGTCTCGGAGCCCCGGGGCACGGGGAGCAGTTGGAAGAGGGAGTCTCTCTTGGGCGAGGCCTAAGCTCCTGGGCTGGGTGGGGCCAGCCCCACCTCATTCGTGGGAATCGTAGGCAGCAGACACGGTGCCCCGAGTCCTTTCCCAGTCACCCACCTTGTGCGAATCCTGTAGGCTTTCAAGCTGAGTGAAGAATCTGTGGTTGGCCCAGCAAGGACAGAGGAAGCGGAGCCACCTGGGTTCACGCTTGTTGTGGTTCTGGCCTGAGCCAGATGAATAATCAGGCTCCATGGGCGCCGTCAACCAGCTTTGCTTCCCACACCTTTTCTGTAGGGAAGTGCGTGGGGAAATTAGCGTATTGCCCCATAAACAGAGAAAGCCTCGTCTTGTATTTCCTGCAGTTACATGAATGGGGTGTGTTTTTCCAACTGGGCAGTGCTGGGTGCAGTAGAGTTGGAGGCCTGAGAAAAAGGAAGAGGCGCAACTCGGGCAGCATCTGCTGACAGGACCAGAAAAGAATCCTCTTGGATCCTTGAGTGGTGGTGGTGGTGGTGGACTAGCCCAGAAGTTCACTGTTGTTTCAGACTTCCCCTTCCACCAGCCTCCACTCAGGGAGTGGTAATCCAAAAGGTCTAGGGAGCCCTAGGTTGCTTATCCTTTCCTGTTTTCTTTCACGCCAACCGCCTGGCATGATGTGTTCTCATGAGGATGCTTTTTGTCATACATGCCAGTCCAGGCATCCAGGCATCTGCTGTGATTTGCTCCTTGCTCACCTGGCCAAAAGATGGTCTTGGCCTGGTTTGTGAGCAGCTTCTGAAGGGAAGAGTGGCGAAGATACAATGAGAAGCTCCTGCAAGGCTGACCCCAGATTGGTTGGGGGACTGTACTGCTATAAATGCTGGGGTCTCTCACCTTTTCACGTTGAAACCTGGCCACCCAGAGTCACTTGTTGAGATGGGCAGCCATCCGAATGAATGAATGAATGAATGAATGAATGAATGAATGAATGAATGAATATCTACTGCATCCTTCTGCAGCAGTCAACTTTCAATGTTGGCCAATAGCCTTTCAATCCAGCAGTTGTCTGTCAGACATAGGTTGCCAGATGTTACTTGTTTGAGGAGGGAGCAAGAGTGGGAAAAAGTTACTGTCTTGCTGGGGACCTCCTTGGAAACACCCTAATTACCCCTGCAAGGACCTGGTATCCGATTAGAAGACCTTCTTTCCAAAGCTGCTGGGCTCCTTTTGTGAAGAAATCAGCCTCCCTTGATATGTATTTGGCTGTAGCAGCATAGACCATGGTCGGCTGGGTATGATGAGCATAGTAGTTCAACACATTTGGCAGGCACCGGGTGGGAAACAACTAATCTTGATACGCTTCTCTTCCACTGACAGTCTGCCTGTACTCCTGGAATCCCAGTCCACACACCCTGCTGTAGCAGCATAGACCATGGTCGGCTGGGTATGATGAGCATAGTAGTTCAACACATTTGGCAGGCACCGGGTGGGAAACAACTAATCTTGATACGCTTCTCTTCCACTGACAGTCTGCCTGTACTCCTGGAATCCCAGTCCGCACACCCTGAATGAAAAATTGACATATGGAGACCTGCTTGGCATCCATCATGAAGGCATTTCAGATCAAGCCTTTGAACCTTTCCCTGGTTGTCTTTCATCTTGCAGGTTCTCTCAACTGCTCTTAATTCATACGGCCCTCTCCGTGCTGACTTCAGTCAACTCCCTTAATAGCCTCTTTCTGCTGACTTGCCCAAATGCGCTCTGAAAATTAGTCCCCTGGGCAAGAAATGGGGCAGCGGCGCTATTTTTGTTCTCCTCCCTCTCTCCCGAAATACCCCCAGGTCCTTGTTAAAGGGACATGTTGCCACTGGCACTGCAGTTTGGCCACTTAAGAATTGCAGGTGGGACGGAGCGTGTTGAATCTGGTTTGGTTAATTTTAGAGAAGAGTGCAGTCAAAGAAGTATTTGAGCCTGGCCCCACGGCAGGTCCATCGTGGCCTGTTTGGGCTCCAGTTGTTGAGTTCCCAGAGTGCTTGTGGCTGTCTGGTTGAATCTGTTAGTGGAAGGCTGGGAAGACTAACCAGCCATATGAATAGAGAAGGCCATTTTGGACCACAGCAGGTGGCCAGGCATATTGCCCACTAAGGTCACTTCTTCTTTCGCGACTTCTAGCATCTTTCTAACACTCCAACAACGGCTGGGAGATGTTGCGAATTTGATATAAGTTAGTGTGGAAATGACTTAAGTTGCATCATGTTGGGTGGCAGCGTAACCAAACATGCCTTTTAATGACTTCATAGCACCTTGGACTGGGATCCTCATCTGGAGACTATAGCAAATTTGGTGGAGACGGCTCTGTGCTGCAGCTCTCAGTGACTAACTGGGTTCACTCATCACCCTAAGCCATAGTTTGTCGGTCATGAATAAAGCACGCTGACCTGGGTTGACACACATGCTGAGCCAAAGCCCAGCAAACCAAACCACATTGTGGGTTTTCACAATGTGTGAACCCATCAAGTTTCCCCAATCACGTGTTCATGGAGACTGACAGCATCTTCTATGTGGGTGACCTGACATCCTCCCACCACACTCTCTGGCTTCTACTGGCACATGGGCACGAGGAAGTGGTGGGACCCAGGATGGTTTTCCAGTCTTGGATGGCAGACCTCTTTGAAGGGGGCACGCCTTGAAAAAGAGCATGTTTGCTGGTTCTGCGGTCCTTCTCTTTCCCTTAGGTTCTTGGTCTGACTAACCAGCTTGAGGAAGAGCATGCCAGGCTGACAGTGAATGGAAGAAAGCTCCTTTGGTTGGGGGTCTCCCTCCCCTCTCTTTCAGCCTTTGCCCTTCCGTGAACTAATGGAATGTAGAGTTTTGAAGAGGACAAAGAGTTGGCTCAGCTGTTGCTGCAGCAGAGGCGTGGGGGGGGTGGACGCGCATGAGAGGCAGGCAGCAGAGGGGAGGCTGGGCCAGACCCCCCTCCCTACCTGAGGGCTCCATCCCTGGGGGAGGGCCAGGCAGCGAACCCTCCCTCTCCGCTGGGATGCGTGCGTGGCCTTCAGATCAAAAGACGCGAAATCCTGCTTCTGCCTTGGGTTGGTTGCAAGTAAAATAAACGCTGCAAACAGGTTGAAAGAGCCTTCAAGAAACAGGCCATTGTGAGCCCAGCTTCCCTTTTCTGTTTTTTCCTGGGCTGTTTCCACTGAGTTCCTGTTTCTTATTCCAGATACTGGGGCGGAGGGCTTCTCCCAGCGCAGGGGGACGTGAGGACTCCAAGAGAAGCATCTTTTGTTTTTGCTTTGAGTCTGTAGGGTGTGATGTTCAGAACTAGTCTCTGCCTTCTCCTCTTCTGCAAGCAGCCAATTTCCCTCCCCCCCACCTTTTTTCTTTTTTGCTGGTGCCACCTTGCTAGTCAAGAAACGAAATGGCACAACTCCACTTGGAGTCCCCCAGGGTGGCAAGGCTGCTGGAGGCTCGCTCTGCACATACCCACCAAGTCTACGTTCTCAGCATACCAAAACGTCATGTGAATTGGTCTCCCAATCTCGGGAGGATGTTCTCTGCTTTTGATGGTGCCAGGGCTTACGAAGTAAAAAACCTCACGCATTTAAAGAAAAGCGCTGAGCAAATAGAAAAGAAATAAGAGGAAAAAAGACAAGGGAGGAAATAAAAGGAAAAAAGATATAAAGAAGTGGCTTCCGTTCTTCTTGACAGCAGTTATAAATGCATTTATATTTTATCTTTTCTCTCTAAGGTGACATCATGGCTCTCTTCTTTCCATATTCTATCCTTTCTAATCAACAAACCCATAAATCACAAATTCATTTTTTTCCATTTTCGGCAAAAGAACCCATAAGGGGTTTCCAATCACTGACAAATGAAGTTGTTGTCTTTTCTCGAATCAATTCTGCCATCTCTGCAAATTCTGCCATTCCTCCACTGTGGGTATTTCAGACTCTTTCTATCCTTCTGCATATAACAGCCTCGCTGCGATCACTGTGTACCAAAACAGTCGTCCGTGGGCCTTTTCAAATTGTCTGTCCATTAGTCCCAGCAGTTCTGGTTTCAGTTGAATATTAATCTTTGAAATTCTTTGTATCGTGGTGTGTACTTGAACCCAAAATTTTCTGGCTTTTTTTACAAGTCCGCCAGGCATGATGAAATGGCCCTTCCTGTTTTCCACACTTCCAACCTAGACTTGAAGTGCCTTTATACCTTCTAGATAATTTTTCTGGAGTCACGTATCAATGGTACATCGTTTTGTAAAAATTCTCTTTTATGTTACAACCTAATGTGAACTTCAGTCCTTTCACCCACATATTTTCCCATTCTCCCATCAGCATATGATGTCCAAAGTTCTTAGCCCGTTTTATCATACGCTCTTTCAGTTGTTCTCCTTCCGTTTCAAATTTCAACAAGAGGGTATAGGTTTTAGCAATCACATGCTCATCATTTGTACGTAGTTCAATTTCAAACTCTGTCTTGTGCTGTTCAAATGCCCTGTTATCTACTTTAAATCTTTCTCTTAGCTCTGCGTGTGAAACCCACGGTGCTGGGGCTCTTGAGATTGTTGGGTTTTGGAGAGCTTACAGGCTTTCCTTCCATTCTGGTTAACAATTCCTGGCCGTCCTACCCCCAGGGCCTTTGCAACTGATTTTGGTTCATGTGGTTTTACACCCTCTTCCTCCCCACCCCATTTGCAGCGCAGGAAAGGTTCCACTGCTGATGTTTGACCCCCTTCTTACCTCTTGCAGGCGATGTCCTGAACCTTAGCCCTGAATATTCCTTTGATGGCACCAGTACGCAGGTTGGCAACATCGTCCTGGCCTTGTACAGTGGTCTCTTCGCTTACGGAGGATGGTGAGTTGTGAGGAAGGGGGAGAAATTGCGAGCCTTCTGCCCTCACCTGTTGGCGAGTTTAGTTTAAAAAAAAAAAGTTCAATCAGGTGAAGATTTGTGGCTCTGTCTTGTCCTTGTGTTGGCACCTGCATGTTCCAGAACTGGGCAGAAAGAAGGGTGAACAGGAAGAGCCCCATAGCAAGGAGAACTTGTGATGTTCAGACCTAGGTGGCTTCTGCTCTGGGGCAGCCATATTGTTAGGTGTGTGTGAGAGCGTTTTCATCAGTTACCACATAGTTCATTCTCATTCAATCTACAAAGCCAGGAAGACTTTGTTTTTAACGCAACTCTGTGTATTGTAAACTCAAGAACCCTTTTCTTTCTCCTCCCCCCCCATCTTTAAAACTGCAGGAATTACTTGAATTTTGTCACAGAAGAGATGATTAACCCTTATAGGTAAGTGTCCCCAGGACCTGTGTTTGCATTTCCTTCTCCGTAATGCTGATGAGAAGGGGGCCTCCGTAGACTTTCTCTTGATATTCCTGCAGTAGCAACAGGAATAGCTGTAAAAAATCAAGAGATGTTCTTAGCTCTGCTTGTGAAACGGACTCTCTGCCTTCCTTCAGAAACCTCCCTCTGGCCATCATCATTTCTCTGCCCATCGTCACCCTGGTCTACGTGCTGACCAACCTGGCTTACTTCACCACCTTGACAGTGAACGAGATGCTGGCGTCGGAAGCCGTTGCCGTGGTAAAATGCAATAAGTCCTTCAGGAAGGGCTGCTCGAGATCAAGATAGCTTCTCTGGCTTTGTGATTTCTCCCCGCGCGCCATCTGGGCGCAGCGCAGTTCCATCTTCGCTGTCCGATCTGGCCATTGCAGATTCTGCCGCCGCAGAGGTTTGCGTGACGTGGAACTGGGACGCGAACAGGATGTGCGTCTGGGAGAAAGCACCTGCGGGTGCATGTGTGAAGGAGGGCCACTGGGGCTAAATACCTAGTAGCATCTCAGGGGAAGAGGTTTTTCCTGTTACGGATCTGAAATGTCCCTTCTTTCTGGTGCGGTGTTCGCTCCCCACCCTCTCCAATAATCCTGCGCAATGTTTATCCGTAATTCACCCCCTCCCCGTGTGGAAAGGCCAAGCAAGAACACTGCAGGGCAAAATTTGAATGAGGGGTCCCCTTTTTCCTGTTAGGTTGCCAATCGAGTTCAGTTTGCATCGCGTCCAGCCCGCCTTTCCCTTACGCTCCCAGGAGCTTCCTGGGGGAAATGTGTGACCGTCTGTCTTCCTCCCTGTTTGCCGACAGGATTTTGGGAACTACCACCTGGGCGTCATGGCTTGGATTATCCCTGTGTTTGTCGGCCTGTCTTGCTTTGGGTCCGTCAACGGCTCACTCTTCACGTCGTCCCGGTAGGTTTCTCTCTCTGCCTCTGATAGGAATAAAACCACCTCTGCGAAAATGGAAGCTTAACTTTACAAGCTGCCGACACGTATATCTTGCCCTGCAATATAAAATTCTGGAAATCTTGCAACTGTTAAAAAACACACACACGTACATATGGGAGGGGGGGCTGTAATATAAACTTAGATTTTGCAAATAAACTTACTTTATGGCCCCCACTCTGCTGTTGTTTAGAAGAGCATGAAGACCTGGGTCTTCTCCCGGGTCTTTGACAAGGGAGCGTGAGACCCCCAACTTCGTTCCATCCAGTCGGTGGTTCTTGCCATCTTGTATCTTTCTTCCTTTTAATTGGTCTTATTTCCTTGTTCGGACCGTTGCGAGCTGCCCAGAGTTGTTGGGAGCCAGGCAGCGTGCAAGTCTGATGAGTAAATAAATTACAAATTTTCATCAGTCGCTCCTTCTGACTCCTATGCATGCCAAGCAGGTGTAACTAGGTACTGGAATTGCCCAGCTCCTCAGTCCAAGAGGATGTCCTCTTTCTGGGAGAAGTAGCGGGCTACCTCCCTCTCTCTGGCAGAGTCTTCCTAAACAGACGGTTTGAAACGGGATTGGCCTGACCGCCGAGCCTTGTAAACAGCACAAGGCAACTTCCAAAAACCCCAGACAGCCTTAAATTCATCAGCTCAAAGAGTGTAAATTAAAGTTGGTCTCCTCTCTTGTAGGCTTTTCTTTGTAGGTGCTCGTGAAGGCCACCTGCCCTCTGTCCTTTCCATGATCCACCCCCGGTTGCTCACGCCGGTGCCCTCGCTCATCTTCACGGTAAGGGTGCTCACAGAAGTGCAGAGGTTCCTTTGGGGGTGGCGAGGGGGGCGGGAACACTGAACACTGCCTCAGTGTTTTTGGGTTCTAGCTAGATGTCAGATTCAGTAGCGCGTTGCTTTCTAACTTCGGTAAGCATTTAGTTTCGAGCAACAACTCCACACCTGGTGAGTTGCATGGCTTTTGGAAGCCTGCAAGCTGGTGCTGCGCATCGAGGTTGAGAAGGGTGCTTTAGAACTGAAGGACCCTCCCCCTTCCCTTGAAGCGTCCAAGCAAACAGCACATCACGTTTTGAAGGCAACTGTCTTGCATCCTCCTTGGGGGACATCGGTTCTCTGGGTTTCCTGCCCCTATGTGAGGCTCTCGTGTCTGTCTTTTGCGCCCCGTTCCAAGCTCAGAACTGCAGACTCCACTTGGATTGCAGATGTCCACTGCCTGCAATGATTCTATTCCCAAGCTCGCTGAGTCTCTGGACTTTGGACGAAGTCAGTGTTCTCTGAAAGAGCTGTCTCCCGGCTCCCGTGCTGCATTGACTTGTCTCCTCTTCCCTTCTCCCCACCACCTCCAGTGTGTCATGACTTTGCTCTACGCCTTCTCCAACGACATCTTTTCGGTGATCAACTTCTTCAGCTTCTTCAACTGGCTCTGTGTGGCTTTGGCCATCATCGGCATGCTGTGGCTCCGTTACAAGAAACCAGAGCTAGAGAGGCCGATCAAGGTGAGGTTTGCTCAGGGTGTTGGAGAAGGGTGCCCCGAAGTGAAAAGGGAATGTTCTGTTACTTGTTCTGCAAGTTCTGCAAGTTCTCCACTTAAATGACCATCTGGGATCCAGATTTTCAGTCCTGGAGCTAGTCCAGGTCTGATCCTTGTGACTGGTTGGCCCTGGGACCTGGATTGATCAGGCTCTTGAGTTATTCCCTTCCTACTTCTAACACTCTCGGCCCCTCCTTGTTTTCTCCTGCACAGGTTAACCTGCTGTTGCCCATTATCTTCATCATTGCGTGCAATTTCCTCATCGTCGTCTCTTTTTGGATGACCCCAAAGGAATGTGCCATTGGCTTTGCCATCATCTTCAGCGGAGTCCCGTTTTACATTATTGGTGTCTGGTGGAAAAACAAACCAAAGTGGCTTCTCCAGAGCATCTGTGAGTACTGGTGTCAATTTCCAGGAGCTGTGTTGGATGGAAGAGGGGTGGGGGTGGTGTCTGTAATCCACACTTGTTCTACTCAGAGGTGGGGTAGCCTTTCCACAAAGTTTGGACCTCTCTTCCGGTGCCTCTGGAGCATGAGAAACAGCAGGGGAACGCCATCAGGATCTTCAGCGATCACACCCGGGCAGTGCTGCCCCACCTTGTAGAGACCTTGAAACGAGGAGGAAAGGCAGGATCGGACACGATCGGGAGGGGCCTCAGCCACTTCCTCTAGCAAAGCCGTGTGGGTGTCCCCACCCTGAGGTCTCTCAAAAGAAGCAGCCTGGGCACGCTGGGATTAGCCAGAAGCAAATGCCATACCCAGTCTCCAGGTGCTGGGGCCATCCTGATGGCAACTGTGGGAACTGCACATTTGAACGATGCCAGCCAGGCCAGTCTTTTGGCTGAAGCTGGGACAGATCGAAACTGGATTTCAGCGTGTCCGACACGTCCCCTGTGCTGAAACTAAGCTCAGGTTTTACAATTTTACACATTTGTGGATCCAGTAATCCCAGAGCAATCCACGTTTCTCCCTATGCTGGGGACAGAGAGCCTCCAAAAGGATCCAAGTGGTTTTCTTGTCCATGGAGGCCTCTGTCATCCGGCAGTTTCCTCCTGTTCAAAGTTTTAATCCCTGTTTTACTAAAAGCCCCTCTTATTGTCCCTGGGTGACAAAGTCGTGTTAAACTTGTGCCCTGCGAAGTCCATTTTGGACAGAGAATATGCTGGTTGGAAGAAAGGGATTATTCCAAAGGGGCATGGATGGATAATTTGCCAGAGTTTTAACTGGAACCTTCTGATCCTGGTGCCTCATGTCATTTCCCAAACTCAATTCTTTTTTGTCCACCCACAAAGCACCAGTCAGAAACAATCTGTATCTGCCAGGAATTTACAGTCTGTACCCCTCTCCCCACAGGAGTCTTGGGTGCAGAAGTTGTCATCTGGCATATGACAAAAGGAAATTATTAAGCACAAACAGGGACAGTATTAGCATAATTCATTCGTTTGGAACTACATTTAAGTTGAATTATATAAACTGTCACGTCTCCGTCCTGTTTCGGGGGAGGACCAAGAGGCGATGCGCTCCTAGCGATGCAAAAATCTTTCTTTGTCCTTTGCACATTGCAGTAACCTCAAAAGCTCATTCTGGCCATTTAATTTTCCCACTTTTCATTCCTCACAAACAGACTCCACAACAGTCCTGTTCCAGAAACTGATGGAGGTGGTTCCGCAGGAGTCTTAAAAAGAGGGGAAAAACCATCGATGTTTAGTTCAAGCCGACGCACAACATTGTTTTTGAAACATAAGTATGTCTGATTCCTCACTGGAAAAACGGAAACTGCAGGGACAGCCAGGAGACCCCTCTGAGACCCCTGCCCTCACCGCTTCCCCTTTCCTGGTCCTCTTGCGGCCTTCTCCAACTCAGGCCAGGCCGTCGATGAGATGCTGGAGGAGAAGAAAACCCCAGGTGCAAATTTTAAATTGGGAAGAGAAGGTTGCTTGAAAGAGAAGAGAGGCCTCCACAGAGATAGAGAACACGGGGAAGTCAACAGGACACTTTGTTTACACGCTCAACTACAGACTTTTTTTAGTTTCTCTATCAGCTGCCTCCACGTTTGCAGGAAAAAGAAGAAGCGCGGACCACGGATGATGTCTAGCAGGGCAGCGTCTTCCTGAAAAGAAGTCTGCCTACGCTGTGCACTCCTGACAAATAAAGGGGGCCCTGCAGAAGAAAACAGCCCCACCAAGTGACGCCAGCCTTTCTCGTTGAGTTTCCCCAGCATCAGCTCTCCTCATTCTCAGTGGACTCGATGGTTCTGACAAATGAGTTTTTTTTCTTTTAATTGTAGCTCTCCTTGTTCTAACTTCTCAGTGATGTTACTTTTTAAGCCTTCTTCTCTTTAAGACTTCCGCGGGCTCGCATCGCGTTGATTTCCCATTCAGTGTTTTGTACAGCTTTCATGGCCACCTGCACAATTCCCCCCCCCACCCCGTGCAGGTCGAGCTGAGATCTCCAGAATCGCCTCAGACCACCGTGGATTAGCGCAACGGTCTCTAAGGCAACTGAAATGTGCCAGCTGGTGGGCCGTGGCGTGCCTCTGCCGGCCCTGGCGTTGCAAGGTTTTGTTACCCGCCTTCCCCGTTTGAACCCCCCCCTGCTTTTCATTTTCTAGCAGCATTCAGTGGTTATGCTAAAAGTCTTACCTTTTCGTTTTCTTGCTGTGCAGAATGTCAGTTATTACAGCTTGGTAAATGTATTCTTGGGAACGGGGTGGGAATCACTATTCCTGCGCAGCGGTTGATGCTGGAAGAGTCGGCTGTCAGGCGGGGGGGGGCACCTAGTGGGAACAAGCAGAAAGTCCGTGCTCTGCGTGTGCGTGCGTGTGTGTGTGTGCTTCTGTGGCACTTTCTTGATACGAAGCTTTACTCAAACATGCATACAGACTTTGGCCTGGCGAGCAACAGCGTGGGCTTCTGAATTTTAGAGCAAAGAATTGGAGTAAGCGCTCCCGTGTTTTATTGTCTGTTACGGCTGTCGTGGGACCAAGTTGCTTGACGTTAGGTGGGGCGCGTTGGCCTTTAGGATCTTGGGATCTGTTCTTCTTTTTTCTTCAGTTCTTGGGGAATGTCCTGTCTGCAAAGGTTGGTTTCTCCCTGAGTGAAACGTAACTTGGCCCCTGGCCTTCCTGGCCCAAGAACGTCTTAGGCTGGTCAATGTGGAACTTCACGGTGCAGCTGACAGGATGGCTGATTCTCCCCTTGAGGGCGAAAGTCTTAGATGGAAAGACCTGGCCCGATTTGTGGGAAGATGGGCATATATTGTAGACGGAAGGGCACTTCCCATCTCAAATACGGCGCATATTCCTTGCGTCAGTTTTTGCATGGCATCTTCCAGATGTGCTGGGATTGCATGGCTATTCTCCGTGCTGCTAGGAAGTTCTCTACATCACGATTCTGAAACATGGAAACAGGCAAAATGATTCTGGCTGAAGTAGAGCGGGAAATAGTTGTGGGCTGGCTGCTCGTCAGTTGTGATGCCAACAAGTGCAGATTCTGAAAACCGAGGCGCCTCAGTGCTGAATATTAAGGTGGAGGCATTTTTAACTCTTTGGGCCATTG